ATATTAAATTATATTACAATATGTATTTAAATTTATTTATTTTTACTAAAAATTTAATTTATATAAATACTTAAGGTTTATCAATGTCTTTTTTTCACAATTGGATCGTATAATGACTCAAAAAAAAAAGAGATTTCTAAGTGTAATAGAATTTCGTAATTAAAATATATTGAAATAATTGAATATATATTTGAAAAATCAAGAATAAATCAAATATCATTTATTAAGCAAATAAAGGAAATATATAGTCAAGTAAAAAATTAAAATGCTATTGCTTTACGATAATAAAGAAAACATATATTTTGAAGAACAAAAAGTACTAATGTAATAGAATTAGAATAGTATTAATTTTTAAGTATAAAAACAAAAAAAATAAGATTTAATATTGTTTTATAATTAATATAAATGAGTGACGATTCAGAGTTCTTATGTTAGTATGATGGTCATGATGAAGATGAGATACTTGGTTTCTGCTTGAATTAGAATTGCAAATAAAATTCGCAATTTTGTTTAAAATGTTGTTGGGATAAACATGGTGATCATGAGGAGGACTGCAAAACCTTTAAATAGATATAAAAGGTATTTACAAGTAACAAACAACTTGAAGAATAACAAAAGATTGAACTTTTTGATAAAATAAAGCAGATACAAAAATTATGTGAACAAATTACTCAGAATGAATATTGTGATAGTGAAAGATTAAACACTTTGGAGAAAGATTTAAAGGATAAAGAATACAAGAAATGTTTAGATAATATTCCTTTTTTAAAACAATATAGTCAGTACTTACAAACAAATTCATAAAGTAAATTGGATTGTTATTATTTAGAAATGTTATTAGAGTAATTGGATATAGGATTATCAACATTAAAATTGTTCACATTAGGGTTTTCTAAAATTTAGGAATAATTGAAATGTAAATAATGTAATAATAATTAAGTATTGGGTAATAATAGCATAACACCTACAAAATCTGAAAAAAAGAATACAAATCAGATATAAAAGGAAACTTAAACTGTGTAAGAAAAAGAGGCTTTTATAAAAGTATAAAAGAAAGGTAATTATTATAAATATAAATAAAAATAGATTAAGAAATTTAAGTAAACATAGAAGTATAACAATAAAAATAAGAATAAAAAAAAAATGATGATGATGAAATAGAGATAGTAGAAGAGAAAGAAGTATTTAGACCAGTAAGTTAAATAATCAATCAAAGGCCAGGAGTAGGTCCAGGAATAGGTGGTCCAGGATAAGGATATTCAGTAAATAAATATATAATATTTAGTAAATAAATAAGCCACCTCCTCCTACATCTTCAATACCATAAATTCCAAAAACATAAAATATACCACCAGGTTCATAAATATCTCAGAGTCAAATACTAGGATAGTATCCTCCTTAAAGTTCAAATTCATAAATAGGCTCAATTCCACCGCCTGGTTCACATAAACCGCCAGGATAATATCCATCAACAAGTTCAATTAATAAATCATCATTACCACCGATGAATTAACCATCTAGATCATAAATACCTCCTGGTATTTCTTAAGCACTTCCTCCAGGTTTTCCTTCTGGACTTTCTTCAGGACTACCTCCTGGTATATCTTAAGGACTTCCTCCTGGTGTATCACAAGGACTTCCTCCTGGTATATCTTAAGGACTACCTCCTGGTGTATCACAAGGACTACCTCCTGGTGTATCACAAGGACTTCCTCCTAATAAATCATAAGGACTTCCTCCTAATAAATCATAAGTACTTCCTCCAGGTATTCCTTCAGGGATACCTCCACCTTTCGGAAAATCAGGTTCAAGTTAAATACCAAATTTACCACCTAATTTACAAAATCCTTTGCCTTAAATTTCTAAAAATCAACCACCTTCCATTGGATAAATTCCTTAAGTATAACACCCTTAATTGTAATAATAACTTGCTAGACCACCAGGGTCTTAAGTAGTTGATCCATAATAATTACTCAATTAAATTAATAATGGATAATAACCTTCAATGAAATAAATTCTTGAATTTTTCTTATAATAAGAAGCATAAAATAATCCATAGTAAATATTTTATCACTATCATTAAGATATAAAAATTAACTTCCTCCTAAAATAAATCTAGATCCTGAATAAGTCAAATATTATGAAAATGAAATATTACCTGGTTATGTTATGAATTAATGTAAATATTATTATGTAATAATTTAGGCTAGATATTAAAAGAGCAAGGAAAATATAAAGAAGCACTAGATATTTGTAATAATGCTATTGACAAATATCCCGATAATAGTCCTCTATATTTTGAAAAATGTATTTATTATAATAATATCCAGGCAAACTTTTATTGGCACTACAGAAATATTAGGAAACTCTTGAGACCTGCAATTTAATTATTGAGGCAGATCCTGAATAAACAAAGATTTTAGCCCTCAAAGGTATGATGATTTTTTATTTAAAAGGAATAACTTTACATTTATTAAATAGATACGAAGAAGCTATTGAGTTTTATGATATAGCAATTGAATTATTACCAGATGACTTTGCTGGTCATTACTATAAAGGTTTAAACATATATTTATTATTTCAAAGGAAAGACATTATTTGTTATGAAACAATATGAAGAAGCTCTCAAATGTTTTGAAAGATCATTAGAGATAGATCCAGAACATGAAGAGGCATATTAATCTTCAGGTATTTTTAACTATTCATCATATTTTAGGTATCGCCTTAGAAAAATTAGAAAAATATCAATAAGCAATAGATAACTTTAACATAACATTAAATATTAATCCAAAAAATTAAACAGCCTTAATATTAAAAGGTAATCAATACATAAAATATTATTAGCTCATTGTTTAAATCAATTAAAAAACTATTAAGAAGCTATTGAAACTGCTGATGCTGCAATACTACTCAATCCTAATTCATCAGATGCTCATCTAAATAAAGGTAAACTCTCAATTATTTCTAGGTTTGGGATTACTTAGAATGGAAGCTTACAGAGAAGCTATAGAATATTTTGAGAAGGTTATCTTAATTGATGATGAATAACACGAAGTTTATGCATTAAGAGGTTATTACTTAATATATTTCTAGGAGAGGCACTACATAATCTTAATAAATATTCAGAAGCTGTGTAATCTTATGATCTAGCTATCAAATTACTACCTAATTAAGAGTATATTAAAAAAAAAGGTATAATAATATGAACTATTTTCAAGCTGCTTCTTTAAAAGCTATGGAATAAAATGATGAAGCAGATGTTATTATTAATCAAGCTAGATAATAATAATCAAATTAAGAAAATTTAACAACCGTCCAAAACAATGAATTTTAAACACAATGAAAGATAAATTATTTATAAAATAAAATATTTATAAAATAATAATTATGTAAATATTATATCTATCCATCAGTCTATTTTTGTCTTTATTATTTCAAATAGCTTTACTTTTATTAAACGTTAATTATAAAGTACTTATGATATCTCACATTTCTCGTCTTATATATTAAATATTAATTCTTAGTAGGCAATAGATGTTCGTATTAGTTATATAGAATAAAGTATCTCATTAAAAATCCAATTACATTTATGTATAAAAGTATTTGAGTTCGTATTTTGCTCTTTACCATAATTAAACTCAATATATGTCATTTCATCTGGATTACATTTCACATATATGTTTAATTATATTGATTACTAATCCTTATGTATTACTTATTTTGTTTCTCCAAAATTCATAATATAATTAATTTGTCCCTATAATACAGCTTTAAAAGAATCAGTATAATCAGTTTTTAAATTTACCATCTATTTTATGTTTACCTTACCAAATACAAAACTAGTTAATTCTAATGTAGACACAAAACTCATCCACATAGGTGAATGCTTATCTACTATATCACAACAGCAACTAACTAAATTCTAAATTTTATCTACCTCCTTTTATTTCATACCACTAAAAATTTGAATCAGAATAATATATCTTCTTTAATCTCATTTTATCATCAGAATTAGATTAAAATCCTTAGAAAGGTACAATAAACCAAGATTCTTACTTTAATTGGTATTTTTCGCTTATATAACTATTTAATGAATCAGTTTCCTTCATTCCAAATGATTATAGCATATCATCTGTCCCTAAAACAATCTAATATCCTAATGAAATAATATTAGATAGCTTTTCCATTGGATCTGATATTACAACTACAACCTTACTCTCTGTAATTTCAGAAACCTTTTTACTTTATTTCTTTTACCTTCAATTCAAAGTTTACTTCTCCTTTATAAGACACAGATATTAAAGAAACAAAATATTTCTAAGCATTTCTATTCACTTTATCAAATGCTTTTTCATTAAACTCATTTAAATTAAACTAACTTATAACTTATATTCTAGCATCATCTATTGCTAACCATCTATAATGAACTCCATTCACTAAACCCTCTGAACATATAATCCTCAAAGTAAAATCTAATTTATGTCTAATTTTACTTCTTTCACTTATACTTAATATTTCTAAACTATAATTAACTGTCTCTGTTAAAATATCAAATAACTCTGGTATTAAAATTACTTTTGGAATATTTTCAAAGGAATCTTTAAATCTTACTGTTTATGTTCTTTAATAATTTTTAAAACATAAAAATCCTTTATTTGCAATATGAAAAGACCTAAATGTGCTTTCATCGTATGTGATATATCCCAAACTTGCCTACACTAGAATTATTACTAGCATTCTCATAAATTTGATTTATTTTATTTTTAATTATCTCTTATAAATTTATGCGTATCTCTATACTTTTTTCCGGGTTTGAAAGAGCTATAACCTTTAAATATCAGTTCAAATTTTAAACCAATTCGGTTTTATTAATAGTATTTGTAAGAATTTAGTTTTATTCTTTAGATTTAAAGTAAATAGAAAAAAGCTACACTATTTTAAATCCCAAATATATATATACGATATTATTTTTATGAGAATAAATGTAATGAATTTTTTGATAAGTTTATTTTTACTAAACAAACTATTCATATCTTCATAATATTAAAATACCAAGAAATTATTTTTTTGAATTAAAAGAATTAGCAACATTTATTTTATTTTAAGAGTTATTTTTTAAACTACTATTAGTGATAAGTTTTAAAATCATGATATAAATAAATATTATATATATTTATTTTCCCAACATTTTCTGTTTTAAATTTTAGTATAAAAGAAATTATTATAAATAAAAAATGGTCTATAATTATTATAGTATCTGTTTTTCGATTTTTCAATTTAATCTGAATTAATTGAAATATCATATATTTTTAAGTGTTGATTATTAAATTTCAGTATTCCTTTAATTATTGTTAACAAATACCCCACCAAACATTTAATTTTTTTATAAATAAAATTTAAGTATTTCAAGATTTTTAGAGCTTTCAATTTTAAATTTAGATTTTAATTTAATAATTACTTTATTTTGATTAGATAACTTACATTGAGAAAATTATTAAGTTTCTGATAAGTTAAAAAAGTTTGAACTAATAAGTTTAGCTCAATTGAAAATATTTTAGCGCCAAAGTCTAATTTTTGTTATTCAGTCTTATATTTCTGTCGACTAGAAAAACAATATTTATTTGTTGTTCTTTGGCCTATACAACTTGGATTAAACTCTCAACCTATTACAATTATTATTGTAAAGTAAAGAAATTTAGGGTTTAGACAATTATTTGAAGACTTTATATTTTTGGCCATTTAAAAATTTGATTAATATGAAAATTTTTTTTTTAGGTAAAGAAAAATATTAAATGGAGCTTAAAATTTGAATATCACATATAAAATAATTTTAATTTTAAAACAAAAGAAAAATGAATAATCTGTTTTCTTCAATTAATGACACACCAATTCCTATTGTCATAAATTATTTTAATTCCATACCTCAAATATTTAATATTTTAATTGCAATCCTTTAACTGCCGACCATTTATAAACAGAGTAACTTTAAATTTATAATTTCTTTATAATCTGTTTAATAATTCCAAATTTTCTTCTCACTTTTTGTTTTGGAATTATATACTAGTATTGAAAATGCTTTTTAATTCCTATTTTTAACTTTATTTTTAATCGTAAGAAATAGTATCTGTGCCCTTCTCTTAAATGCTTCGTATAATTCCAAAGTATAATTCTAGCACCCTTCTTAAGAAACATTAAGTTTATATTATGAAAAAGGTCCAAAATCATAATAAATACGATCAGAGGTTAGAATATATCGAACAACAATAATTTTATGAAATATTTTAATTGGCTTATTTGATATTGTGTATCTGTAGTCATATGAATAGATTGAAAAATGTATTTTAAAAAAAAAGATTCTTAAATAAAATTCAAATAACAAAATATTTCTAAAATTTATTTTAATTATTAAGAATATATATGTATTAATANTTAACTTACATTGAGAAAATTATTAAGTTTCTGATAAGTTAAAAAAGTTTGAACTAATAAGTTTAGCTCAATTGAAAATATTTTAGCGCCAAAGTCTAATTTTTGTTATTCAGTCTTATATTTCTGTCGACTAGAAAAACAATATTTATTTGTTGTTCTTTGGCCTATACAACTTGGATTAAACTCTCAACCTATTACAATTATTATTGTAAAGTAAAGAAATTTAGGGTTTAGACAATTATTTGAAGACTTTATATTTTTGGCCATTTAAAAATTTGATTAATATGAAAATTTTTTTTTTAGGTAAAGAAAAATATTAAATGGAGCTTAAAATTTGAATATCACATATAAAATAATTTTAATTTTAAAACAAAAGAAAAATGAATAATCTGTTTTCTTCAATTAATGACACACCAATTCCTATTGTCATAAATTATTTTAATTCCATACCTCAAATATTTAATATTTTAATTGCAATCCTTTAACTGCCGACCATTTATAAACAGAGTAACTTTAAATTTATAATTTCTTTATAATCTGTTTAATAATTCCAAATTTTCTTCTCACTTTTTGTTTTGGAATTATATACTAGTATTGAAAATGCTTTTTAATTCCTATTTTTAACTTTATTTTTAATCGTAAGAAATAGTATCTGTGCCCTTCTCTTAAATGCTTCGTATAATTCCAAAGTATAATTCTAGCACCCTTCTTAAGAAACATTAAGTTTATATTATGAAAAAGGTCCAAAATCATAATAAATACGATCAGAGGTTAGAATATATCGAACAACAATAATTTTATGAAATATTTTAATTGGCTTATTTGATATTGTGTATCTGTAGTCATATGAATAGATTGAAAAATGTATTTTAAAAAAAAAGATTCTTAAATAAAATTCAAATAACAAAATATTTCTAAAATTTATTTTAATTATTAAGAATATATATGTATTAATAAATATTTTAAATATAACAAACTAATTAAACATAATTATTTTATAACAAAATTTAACTGAAATGACACTTAATATATAATTCTTATCATTCAAAAATTTTTTCTGTTAACGTTATAATCCCTTTCTTTCATATCCCGAAGTTTCTCTGCTTTCTAAACAAAATTATGTTAATGAAGTAGATTTATCATATTTATCATATCTTATAATCAGATAGAATAAGCAAGAAAAAATGAAGTTTTTAAACTAAAAACAATAGGAAGTTAAATATTAATATTATGAAAACAATTATAATCTCACTTATTTTAGTGGTATCTATTGTAAGCTCAAACAGAATATTGTCTGAGATAAGCTAAACAAGCAACAAATGGTAATTCAATCTTTTCACTTCAACGGCAGAACAAAATAGTTAATCATACCAATTAGAAGGCTAAGAATTACTATTAATATAAAACAAGATTAGTGAAGATGGAAAAAATCAAATAATTATGAATAAATATCTAAGAGATGGTACATCATTGGATTAAACAAAAACTCTTGGAGATAAATCAAAAACTTGCTCAAAGCCTAAAGTCATTATAATCCCCAATATTGGGTTTGTTTTGGGATGGATTTAACAAACTGATTAAGATACATCATTGAATCTTTAACTTTTTAATAATAATTTAACAAGTATTGGAGAATAAATAGAAATAAGTAAAATCAATGAAGAAATACATTGGGATCTATCTTCAGAATATTATTACTTATACAATGTAGGAAATTATGAATTATTATTATTGTATAAAGAACCCAATAACGAAAAATCTTGGAGTGGTACAATATATAACTATAATACACAAAAACGTGGAGATATAATAAAATTGAGCAATTCCAAATTTATTGAAATAGCTTAGAATAATATTGGAAATATTATTTTGCTTTAAAGGGTATAATTAAGTGTGATAAATTCTTTTTTAATAGCAACTAAACTAAATTAAAGTGGTTAAATAGTATATAGTAAGACAGTATAACATATTCAAATTTAGGCTTAATATGAGCCTAGGTTGGTTGCATTGTCAAACAATAATTTTGTTTTATTTTATTAATAAGCTGAATAAATATATTATCAAGTTTACAATTAACATTTTGATTCGGTTTTATTCACTAGTAATTCAAAATATCAAGTATTTTAGACTCCAACATGGGAGTTTAATAATTACTTCAGAGGTGGTTAAATTTAGGTTTTGGCTTTGGAAGAAAGTGTAGTATTAGTTGGAGTTAATTATAATACTTTGAGATTTTAACTAGTTTAATTGGATAATGATTTCTTGCAATTCATTCAATAAAGAGAAATTCATTATGAAGATCTAAATATCTATAAATTTACAATTTAAAAAACAAATTATCACACAATATTTGTTTAATGGATAAGTGGAAATCCTTTAACTTTATTACCTGAATTCACATAAAGTTTATATCAGTCTGAATTAAATTTAAAGCTGACTTTATCAAATTGTGGAATGAATTGTGATTTATGTGAAAATAATAATTGCTCAAAATGTGATGCTGGATATATTTTAAATAATAATAAATGTTAAATAAAATGTCAAACCAATTGTATTCAATGTTCAACTAAAAACACTTGTGACTAATGTGTATCTGGATTTATTTTAAATAATAAAATGAATTGTGTTGAATAAGGTAATATTGCAACTTAAGAATTAAAAGTAAGTGTTTCAGAATTAACCTATAAATATAACCAGTAAGTTAAGCAATTAAAAGATGGAAGTTTGCTAGTTTATTATTCAGAATATTTGAATTAATAATAAGTCTTATAATTAAGATTATTAACAAGTGACGGAGAGATAGTCTCAGCACACTAAATTAATTATTTAGGTTGGGCAGGATATGATATTACTGTTTAAAATGATACTACTGCATATTTATACACAGTGGAAAAGTCTGAAGGATATTCAGTTATAAGACAAACACAATTCAATCCAAGAACTTTTCAGTTTTCAAATGTTAAAAAGTTATAAATATAAAATTAAGGATTTTAATATAGAGAAGATATTTAAGACACATTAAGTGTTGTCGGATTTGAAAATTCAGTCTGTTTAATTTTGAAAGGTTTGGATAGTGGAGATAACATAAATTTAAGTCTTTTATTTTACACTTATAGTGGTGAATTATTAACCAATCAATATTTAGGATAAATATACATTACATAAAATTATTCCTTTAATGATGAAGAATAGAGATTTGATTTTGATTACGATGATTTCTACTTTTATATTATAATATCAAGAGGATGTAGTATTTAATTGATCTAATTCAACTTGTTTGGATAGAGAATTTATGAGGAATAGTTTTAATATAGTTTACCATATGAATGCTAAAATTTTATTAATCCATCTTTATCTAAGATATCAAATAAATTCAAGTTTATGATTGCAATTGAAATATAACAATAAATAATTGTATTTAATTGGAAAGATTCAGTTTCAATATTTTAAACAGATTATAAAATAAAAGCAAATAAACCACAGTTATTAGCATTTAGTGATAATTCATTTGTGCTTTTATATGAAGAATATGATTTAAATGATAGATTTACAACTCTTAAGTATCTAAGATATGAATTTAATGAAATTGTTGTTGATAAAATAATTAATTCACAATCAGTACTTCCTCAAGATTTAAATGTGTTAAATTAAGAGAATGAATATTTAATACTGAATTGGTTGGCTTCTAGTTCTTCTAAAATCTAAGCATCAAATCATGTTTACTTAGAAAAAATATCAATTAATGATAATTTAGTTTTGGGTTTTGGCAAGTAATGTCCAGCAAATTGTGAAAATTGTAATTTTGAGAAAGAATGTGTATCATGCAATGCTGATTATTATTTAAATGAATTAAAGAAATGCTAATTATAATGTCCATTAGGTTGTTAAACTTGTGCCACAAAAACCTTATGTTTAGTTTGTTAGTAAGGTTATTAATTAAATCAACAAAATGTTTGTGAATAATCTCAAAAGAATACTATGGCTGTTTTAAAAGATAATATAAAAATTATTGAATCAATAGATTTAGATTTAGCACAGAATGGTAACTTATATATTAGTTGGATGGAGAGAGATGAATAAAATATTTATAAAACATTTATTAAATAAATAGATGTTCACGGATCTCAAGTTGGAAATGATATTAAAATTAATGTATGCAGTGAATATGCATCCAAAATATATACAACCTCATATTTTAACATATTCTCAACAATTTGTGGAAATATTGAATATGGAGCAGAATTATTTTTACATTTCTATAATTTAAATTTTGATACTAGATTTTCATTTTGGATTGATTCTGGAATTAGAATAATTGGACATTCCATTCATGACACTCCATACGCAATTTAAGTTGTATCAGAGAGAGAGATAATTATAGTTTATTAAATTATGAATTCGGAGAATGATGTCTATTTAAGATTCTTAAAATTATGGAAACATGATTTTGATAACACATTCTTTATATAGAATATTCAAACATTTGGAAATTACTATTAAAAATTATAAGATTTATAATTATCATTTGATCATTAATACTACTATATAACTTTTCAAAATTAAGTACAATTAGAAGATGGCTCAATTCAATTCTAAAAATAAAAAATAACAACTGATACAAATTTATATCAGATAAACAATGAATAAACTTTAGATATAAACTAGTAGTTATTAATTTTATCAAATTAAAATAAATTAGAGGTTTCTAATAATAATTTTTAGATCAATTTTATAATAAGACATGGTAATAAATAACTTTTTTAGCATACAATAAACTCTGAATCGTCATCAATTGAACAACTAGATGTTGCTGCAACTGAATAAGGATTTTATATTGTTTGGATACAGTTATAATCTGTAATTCTAGTAAATCAACATGAAAATGAAAATGGTGAAATTTGGGAAGAATATTTTGAATTACCTCCAAAAAGATAAATAAAAGCTTAAGGATTTTATAACAATGGAACTCAAATAACTGATATTTAGGATTTAATATAATCAAGTAATATGCCAAACAAAATATTTGTTTAATCTGTAAGGAATAATTAATTATTTGTGATTTGGTAGGATTAAGATGAAACAGGATAAAAATTACTTGCTACAAGATATAATAAGATGCTTTAGTTATTATCTTTGAATACTGTTTTATGTTAGACTCATTGTGATTTTTGTTAAACATCAAATAGTTGTGCTAAATGTTCTTAAGGTTACTATTATAATACTGAATAATCGTAATGTTAATTAATTTGTCCATCAAATTGTTAAGTTTGTTCGCTTAAAGATACTTGTGATATTTGTCAACCCAATTATTATTTAATAAATGATTAATGCATATATGATATTGAGAAATAGTCAGAAAGAGTTCTGGCTAATGTTGAAGATTCGACAATTACAAGAGTATCAATGAGTACATTCTCAGATAATGGATTTGTTGTAGTTTGGAATGATAATCAAAATGGAAAATAAACTTTATTTATGTAGCTTTTTAATAATTTCAAAGAAGAAGAAGGACTATTTCCGTTGAGTGGAGATAATGATAGATTATATGCTTAAGTAGAAGTCTTAGATGGAGATCTAATTGCTTTGGCTTGGTTTGAAGGACAATGTTCAGATACTTGTAGACTTTAATTATAAATATTTGATAGATTTGGAACTATTTAAACTAATGAATTTACTATTGCATTTGTGACATTACCACCTTTAGGAAAATAATCTCCTGTTGTAATTAAAAGATATGATAGAACATTAATAATTGCATTCATTACTTATGAACTTGGTAAAACTGTTGGTTATTCTACTATATATGAATAAGACACTCAAACAGTACAAGGCAATTAATTAATTGATCAAGACAATAATGTTGATAACTTACAAATCATATCAAAGAATGGTTATTATCATGGTATTTTGTATGTGAGAAATAATAATGAATTGATACTTCAAAATTCATTTACAGTAGAATGTTGGGCTTATTATTATTGGGGAGTATATGGTTGTGGATATAATTAAATTTTATCAATACTTTCATCAGAAAACAGAATTCAATAGACTTCTGTTGTAATGAGATTAGACAACTATTTCATCATAACATGGGTTGAAAAGACAAATAAAAATGGATTCTTAATAGATAAAACTTATTTTACTCGTTGTTGGCATGCTGGATGTGAAAACAAAAAAGAATTAATAACTAATACATTTGATGAAACCTATTTACCTTAGTTAGTTGGATAATATGGGTAATTTGGTTAATATAGATATTCAATTATATATGGAACTCAAGACTATTTATCTCACATCAGATAAATGATAAAATTATAATCATTTTTCGATTATGAATCAGTTGAAAGAACAATTTAAATTAGCATTTAATCTCAAATAATAAAACAATTAGTAACATTCGAATTTGCAAACGGTGATGTATTTATTCTTACTGTTGGATAAACAGGTGAATCAACTAATCAAATTTTAATGAATATAGTTAATTTATTTGGTGATTAATAAAAGTTAATTGGTCATCCTAATTGTTAGTAACATTGTTAAAGATGTGATGCCAGTTTAACATGTTTTAATTGCAATATTGGTTACAATTTAATTGATGGTCAATGTCAAAGATAATGTGATAAAAATTGTCGCATTTGTGATCCTTATTGGGATATCAATTTATTGTAATGTTATGAATGTGAATTTGGATATTAATTAAACAATTTCTAACAATGTTTGCCAACTGATACTAGTATTATTTAATCATTAATTAATACTTATTAAAGTGGTAACTAATATGGATAAAGAGTTGCTACATTAAGTAATTATCAATCTATTGTTGTTTGGAATAGTGAAAATCAAGACAAAAATGGAAAATCAATCTATATGCAATTATATGACTAATAAATGAGTAAGATTGGAAGTGAAACACTTGTTACTAAAGATAACATTGGTATACAAGAAGAGCCAGATATTGTAGCACTACCAAATAATTAGTTTATAATAATTTGGAAAGATAATCATTCAAATACAGGAAGAAGAATTCTAATGTAGAGATTCACATTAGCATTAGAAAGAGTTGGTGATGAAATTGTTGTTTATGATTCTTTAACTGATATTGTTACAACAGATTAATAAAAAATAAATTATGTAGAAGCACATCATTAAATTGTGATTACAGAAAGAGGCTAAATATCAATTTTATTATTTTTATAATAATCAAGTAACATCTTTGACATTAAACTAAAACAATATAATACTGATTATTAAGAAATCACATCAAAATTAATTGGTCAAACTCTATCTTAAGAATAAACCTCAATTTCTACTATAAATACTTTATTGCTTTTAACATGGAAATCTAAAGAAGGAATAAGAGTGATCTTTGTAAATGAATATGGGTCAAGTGTAAATGGATTGTTAATCCAAAGTACTTCTTCACATAGTTATCCATCAATAATAGCAATATCTGAAAATGAAATTTTAATTAGTTGTGTAGGTACTAAATACAATTAATTATTAATTTATAAATAAAACTTAGAATTAACATTAAATGAAAACCCAAAAGTTATTTAATTAGATTACTAAATTTAGGATGTAAATTTATTGAGGATTAATTCTGGCTATGTCATAGCATTTAAGCAAAAAAAATAAACCCCTCAATATTAAAGTGATTTGATTAATTTATTAATATTTGATAACAACGATAATTAGATACAATCAAATAGTATACAAGTTAATGATTATTATGGATTAATTAGAGATATCAGGATGGCTAGTTTATCAAATGATGAATTCATAATTACATGGACCTAAATAATCAATAACATTAATGGAGGACCAATAAATGAAAGAAATATTTAAGATTAAAGTGGAAATGGAGTTTATGTTAAGAGATTTAATATGGCAGGCTAAGTTTAATCTATTGAAAACATAGTTTGTTAAAGTTATTGTAAATAATGCAGTAAATCAAACTTATGTGAAGCATGTAGTGATGGTTATTAATTTGATGAATAGAAATTAATTTGTTTACCAATATGCTAATCAAATTGTAATTACTGCACCAAATTCTTGGGATAATATAAGAGTTATTGTTAGTCTTGTAAAGAAGGTTTCATTATTAATGAATTAGGAGATTGTGTTAAATAACAAGAATAAAAAGTTTCATAGCTTTATTAATTTGATGGAGGAGATTTTAGAGTATCTCAAATTTTGACTTTATCAAATGGAAATATAGTGGTCATCTATTATATGAATTATGGAGATGTTATTTTTATTGATATTATTGATAATGCTGGTTAAGTTATTGTTTAAAGAAAATAGTTAGAGGGTTCTTGTTGTAAAAGATTAACAAAAGCAACTGCTTTAACTAATGGCAATTTTGCTGTTGTTTAAAGATCATTTGAAATGTATTATGATGGGGGATTTTAATTATTTATTTTTGATTCTGAAGGAAGGATTATAAAATCAGATTTATTGTTTTATCCTAATTATTGGGGATATCCTGAGTTTTGGAGAAATCAAAATTTATTATAGATCAACTCTTTGTCTGATGGAGGATTTGTTTTGTTATTTGTTACTAATAGTAATTAAGCTGCACCTTTATATAATCCATAATTGCATCTAAGAATTTATAGTAAAGAATATTATCTTGTTAGAAGTGATATCATCATTTAAACCTATTTCAATAGAGGTGACAATTATTATTATTATTGGGATTATTGGTATTATTATTAATATTACAGCAATGCATAAAGTTAAGCAATAACTGTATTAGAAAGTGTGAACTCAATTATTATTTCTTTTGGCACTCATCTTTATAATAATTGGGATGAGAATAAAAATAATATTTAGATGTTTGTTTATAGCAAAGAAGGTTAATTCATATTAAATAAGCAAATAGATATACCTAATAATGATTGGTGGATTGCTGGATATACTCCTAGATTCTTTTTATTTGAAATTGAATTAAACAAGTTCTTGTTAATTTATTTTAATAATAGATAAGTATTTGGATAATATTATGATGAGAAGTTCAATCTTTAAGTTGAGAAATCTATAAATTTAGAATCTTCCAATTATAATCATTGTTATGGATGTTGTATAGGATGTTGGGATTATATTAGTAGTCAAGTTGCTTTAATTAAAAACGTTATTGTCATAACCAATAAACCTAATCCCATTGAACTTTACATTTCCTCTTATAATTTGAATTTCAATGCAATAACTTCCCCATTTAAAGTATCAAATGATAAATTTGATTATGGGGATTACTATAGACATTCACATCATTTAATTAACTATTAGCTTGAGACTTTATTATTAGCATAAACATTTTATTATTAAGGAAATAGATACATGATGTTAGATAAGTTTGATAAAAATTGTAATAAAATTAAATAATGGACTGGATGTGATGATTAATGTTTGGAATGTGCAGAAAATAATAAACAATGTCTGACATGTAAGAATGGTTATTTTGTTGATGAAAATAGAAAATGCAAACAAAATTGTGATATTTAATCTTGTCTGTATTGTGAAAATATTGGTTCATAAGCCCAATTTTGTCGTGTATGTTAAGATGGTTATTAATTAAAAGATAATATTGAATGTGTATAAATAGACAATTCAAGAATTAAAGAAACAAAACTTTCATCAAGTGGTCATGCTGCATAGAATACTCCTAGAATTAAAGCACTTTAAGATGGTAGAATACTATTGGTTAGTTTAAGTTAAAATTATAGAATATTGGGATAGTTTTACAATTCAATAGGAGAAGCAGTAGGAGATTAAATAGTATTATTGGAAGAAGATGGAATCAATCATTTTGATTTTGCAGTTTCACCTAATTAAGATTAAATTGTAATAGCATGGGTGAGTAATACATAACTCAATGCAAAAGCTCTTAAATTTAATATCGATCTGCAAACAGAAAACAATTAATAAATAATAATTGTTGATTATATTCATTAATATGGAATCTAATAAATTACAGTAGAATATTTATAGAATAATTCTTTTGTTTGTGTTTTATTTGGAGATTATAGGAGTTGGATAAGAACAATAAATGAATTTAATGAACCATAAAATATTTAATAATTTTACTAAAATTATTATACATAATGTGATTACTGGGGAAACTGTTATTATTGTGATCTATATTCATGTTACTATTGTGGTTGGTATTAATGTTATGGAAATCCATACTATTACTATTACGGATATTATGGATATTGGTATCGTCCAGATATCTAACAGCGTTACATAGATTATTTCACTGCAAGTTATGAAAGAGAACCAAGTGTATTGATCACTCAAAATTATATTGTGGTAGCTTCTGCTGACTTTACTAGTATATAATTAGCAACATTTGATTTAAATGGAAATTTATTGTTTTAGAACAATCTTCAGTATTAAAATTTGTATATGTATGCAGCCGCTTATTAACCATCAATCGCATAATTAGAGAATGGTAAGATTGTAATAGCATGGAAAGATATTTTAATATAATACAATAATCTTCATGAATAATAAGTTGAATCTTACAAATAAACAGTGATTGCATATACTATTACAGATGAATCATTCCAAAATATATAAATAAAATATATTGGAATGGATTATGTATAAGAGGAAAGACCAGACGTTGCTGCAATTTCTAATGGTTTTGCTATTTCATGGTCTGGAAGAAGTGAAAGAAATAATTAAAATATAGATCTAAGAATAGCTTACTTTGATCTTTATGGAAATCTGTAAACTGGATTCATTCCTGTAAGTTCCATTTGTAGTAGACCAATCAATTCTTAAATTTCAAAACTTAATGATGGATCTGTATTTGTATCTTGGTATCAAGATAATGATATTTATGTTTAAAAATTAGATAGGAATGGAGTATTGTATCCCTTACCATAACCAATTAGTTGTCCTTAATATTGTAATAAATGCAATAAAGATTTTTGTTTAGAATGTTTCATAGGATATGAATTAAATAGTTCATAGCAATGTCAATTAATAATAATAGAACCTTAATGTTGGGCAGAAAATTGTTAAATTTGTGAATTTGGAGGTTAAAGATGTATGTTGTGTAAAGAAGGTTACTTCCTTGAAGAACAATTTAATATCTGTTCCTAAATAGATAATGCTGCAAACAAAGAATATTTATTAGCAAAATCTAATGTCATTAACGACCATTCTACTGCTATAGTATAAGTAGATAATGGAATAATAATACATTTATGGTTAGATGTCAAAGAGAATGAGTATGTCTTAAAAGGATCCACTTATAATCAATCTGGAAGCTAATTTATTGATAAAAAAGAAGTATAAGTTTTACCAAAAGATGTCTACATGTAAGTGAAATCATAAAACTCAAATATTATTGTCCTCATTTACAATCAAGAAATAAGTAGCATATATATATTAAATTCAAATTTGGAAGTTGTCAATCCAAAAGTAGATATTTAAGATATCATAAAACAAGAATTCAGCATTTCATTTGAATGGTGGAATTAGAAATTAAATAATTACAATTATGGTTTTGTTATTGAAATTACTGGTATTAAATAGTAAATCATAAATTAATTTTCTCTAAATCCTGAAATTAAAAGATGTACAGTAACAAAGATCTTTGTATTTGATTTCAGCGTATAATTAACAACCTAACCATTTGGATTTTATATGGATGGATAACCATCAACTGGAATAGTAGATCAAGACAATTAATGCAAGATTTCATAAGTTCATGATGTACTTTATGATAATAAAATCTATGTTTTAGTTTCTAGAAGTGATTTAAATAGGTAGAAAATTTAAGCTTATGATTATAATGGAGAAAAAATTAGAGAGAGTTTTATTGATTAATGGAATTGGTATGGCTGGGATTGGTGGTATTATTAAGCTTAATTAAAATTATATAGATTAAATGAATTTTAGATATTAATAGTTGGTAGGGAAGGAAAAGGAATAAAAATAAACAGTGAAAACTTCTTAGATGAAGGAATAGCTGACTATTATTACAATTTCTATTACTATTGTATAGATCAAGAATTTTTTAAGATCTCATCTGATGAACATTTATAATTAGTCTAACAGGAATTTGGATTAGTTAGTAGATGGATGTATTCAGTAAATCCCTATTATTATTTTGGAAACTAAAGATTTGTATCTAGATCAGCAGTGAAACAATAATCATTTAATGTTTTAAGACTATAAAATGGATAATAATTATTTAGTTGGATAGAGGCAGCAAATAATTAAAATAAAGGTTCTATTATGATAGTAAGATTAAATCAGAATAGAGAGTTAGATTCTTTTTAGAATTACTAATGTTTATCAAACTGTAATAAATGTTCAAATGATTATACTTGTGAGTTTTGTAATGATCATTATGAAAATATCAACAATGTTGAATGTAGAGTAATATGTCCATCTTTATGTGAAATATGCTATGAGCCAACAACTTGTTAAGTTTGTTAAGAGAATGCATATTTAAATGATAATGGTTAATGTTATGTACCTGAAACACCATAAATAGAAATATCAATACCAATAAAGAGATCAGATGATTAGTTAAATCCAAGAGTAGCTTCCTTTATTGATGGTAGCTTTGTTATTGTATGGTAATCTGAAAATCAAGATGGCGATGGTTATGGTATATATGTTTAGAAATTCAATTCATAAATAGAAAAAATAGGTGATGAAATTAGAGTCAATGTTAATATTCTTAATAATCAATATTATCCTGATATAACAATTCTTGAAAATCAAAATGTTATTATTGTATGGGCTGATGGCAATATTGAAACATAAGCAACTCTATATTATTAGAGATTTAGTTAAGACTTATAAAGAATTGGAACTCCTGTAATTATCGATAACATAAAAGTGTAATATATTTAATAATATGATACTCCTTTTGTTGTTCAAAGTTTACCATTAAATAAATTTGTGATTTGTTGGATAAATAGTGTAGATTGGATGTCAAATCTATATGTTAGTTTAATAGATTCTAATGGAGTTTAAGTAAATACATTCAGTTTAAATTATCCAGATTAAGTAAGAGAAGTTGTTATAGCATCTAATAGTCTTAACTTTGTTGTCATAACAAAATATAAATGTCAACTTAGAGCTATAGTTTTTAATCTTGATGGAAATCAATAATAATCTTCAGATTTATGGCCTGGATGTTCAACATCAGCAGGTATAACGGCTAATTCTTTAGGAGAATACATTGTTACTTATATAGAAGCAGGAAGTGTTGTAGTTCAATAATATAATAGTCAATTTGGTTTAATCAATACTACACCTAAATTAGATTAGGATGGAGGTTTTGATTCTGAGGCTGATAATCCAGACGTTATTACTCTAAATGGAGATAAAATAGTTGTAGTCTGGTAAAATAATGATAGATGGGCAACACCAAGATCAAGAAAGTTAAAAATGTAAATACTTGATAATGCTGGAGTAACAATTTCAGATGTTAAAGAAGTAAATTTATTAACAACATATGCTTAATTACCATAACTTTCTTTATTGAATAATGATGAATTCATTGTTGTTTGGTAAGGAGTTCATTAAAAATCACTTATTGATTCAGAATATGGAATTTATCTTATGAGATTCAATCATGATGGTATTAAAACAAATCCAAGTGTTCCAATATGTCCAGATAAATGTGAAAAATGTTAAGAATCTAAAACATGTTTCAAATGTCAACTTGATTATGAACTTGTTAATAATCAATGTAAACCAAAATGTCCGTAAAACTGTTCATTCTGTGATACATCTAATATTTGTGACATTTGTTAACCAGGATTTGAATTGAATACAGTTGGAAATTGTCTATATATTAATCCAGATCCACTTCCTGGAATTGTTCCATTCCCATAATCTCCTATTAGAGAATATCCTAGTTTCAAATCTATTTAAAAATATGGAAGTACTTCTGTTTTAATTTATGGAGCATCTATTATTTAACGTGACTCTAAAAATTATTTAGATGTTAATTTGATTTTAATTAGTGAAATAGACAATTCAAATAGTAGTTTCAATTCAATGATAGAAATTGATGGAGAATGGTTAAACATTTATAATTCTGATATTCTAGTAGTGGATGATGAAATAATCATTTATTGGACTGAATAATCTTATAGTGTTAATAGAATACAATTAAAATAATTAAGATTAAATTCAAATCTTATATAATAAGGATTAGAAACTATCGATTCATTTGATTTCAATTGGAATGAGCATATCAACAGAAAAGTTTATCTATTTTATTTCAATTCAAATTACTATATTTTCCATTCTGTCCTTAATATTTATGGTTAATATGAATTTTATGCACACATTATTGATAAACAAGGCCTTTTTGTAAAAGTTGCACTTTCAAAATTAGGTGACACATATAACATAATTTAAAGAAAGCAAATCTTAATAGTTAATAATGAATTTATAGTAGTAGATTACTAATTAGAGATAAGATGGTTTAAATTTGACTAAAATTTGTAATTATAAGGTAATTTTATTTCGACTCAATATTTCTAAGGAGGTGTTGATTATAGTTCAATAACAATAGAATATTTGCCAAACTAACAATATGTATGTGCTTGGAGATCAAGGGATCAATAATACACATAAATGAATTATATCTATTACAGATTTTTAACTTTAGACTTTTAATTTACTAGTGAGGAATAAAAAGTTATAGCTTCTAATAATGTAATTTAGAACCCTTAGATAGTAGTAACAAATGAGAGGTTTTATATAATTTGGAATTAAGAATCAATTGTTTCTAGTATGATAAATTGCAAATAATATGATTTATTTGGGAATTATATAAATGAAATCCAAAAATTAAATAGATTAGATAATAATGTATAATTCTACACAGGAACAAATATTAGTGATGATAATATAGTCATAATCTGGATTTCATATTCTTCGACAATATGGGAATATCAATACTATATTGCGAAAGTTGGTCCATCTGGTAGAATGCCAATTGGTGGTGGTGAGTCATTTATTTGTCCAACTGGATGTGAAAAATGTTAAAATGAATATTCTTGTGCTTAATGTCTTTCAGGCTATTTTTATGATTCTATAAAATACAAATGTTATTTACCTTGTACAAACAACTGTAAAGATTGTTTATCCGAACTTGGTATTTGCAAGGTTTGTAATGAAGGATACAAATTAACAAATAATAATTGCGATTAAAATATTTGTTAATAAGGATGTTAACTTTGTGATGAACTGTAAAATTGCTTAAAATGTAATGCTGGTTTTGAAGCTCTTGATAAATATACATGCAAATATTATTGTGATGTAAATTGTGAAGTTTGTGGTGAAGATAAATGTAATTAATGTAAAGAGTCTTATTATTGGAGTGACTAAGATAAACTATGTGTTGATATCACAATTTACATTTATTAGACAACTAAAGATTAACCATTAAAGGCAGTATTTGAGAGTAAGGATTATGTACTTATGTGGTATGAAACTGGATCTAATGAAGGAATTTATATCTAATTATATAGAAGTAATGGAAAACCAGTTGGTAGACCTACTAAAGTTAATGAAGAAGATCTTTTAGGAACAAGAAGATTGTTATAATAAAGTAATAATTTTGATGTTAGATTATTCGCTGATTTGACTGCTATTAAGAATGAATTAGTAGTTTTATGGGTTGATTAAACTTAAGGAGATCTAATGAAAGTTAAATTTAAGAAATTCGATAATAATAATAAATAACTATCTTCCACAATTACCATAAGTGAATAACCTAAATAAAATTTAACTAGCATGGCAGCACCATGTATAATTAAACCAACAACTAATAATTAATTTGTTATTGGATGGTTTAATAAATAGGAAGAGAATTTGAAATAAACAGCAACAATGTTCATTTAATCTTTTAACACTTAATTAATACCTATTGGTACAAAATCTGCTTTTTAGAATGCTGATTTCACAAAAATCCCATTAATTTAAGCCTCTGAAAATGGAGATGTCTATATCACTTATACAAGTCAAGGATATACTTATTTGGCTTAGATGTCTTAAGATGGAGAATAAAAAAATGATCCAATCATAGTATCCCATGTTTATTAAACTATCAAATCAACAAACTTAGATGATGGAAATATGGTATATGTATTTGAATCTTAAAGCACAAATGTATCACCTCCATAATTTGTATTATCTTATGAAATTGTAAAATAGGATAAGAAAGAAAATTAACCTAGAGTTTTGACATAATAACAATATGGAGAATAACATCCAGATATAGTAGCAATTGCTGGTGGATTTGTTATTGCATGGAGAAGTGTTGATAAATCATTCAAGTCTTAAGATATCTATTTCTAAATATTTGATAATTCTGGAGAAGCCAAATCATAACAAATAAAAGCTAAAAGATATGGTTTACATCCATAAAGTCCAAGAATTCAAATACTAAATCAAGATGAATTAGTCATATCATGGACTGCAGAAAGTATAGGAGATTCAACCAAAAACTCTCTATTTTAGGACTCATTCAAATTATCTGTCGCTTTGAATAATAGTACAACTGAAGATTAAAATATAAATAAAATAGTATGTTCATCAAATTGTTTATATTGTGAAACAAGTAACACATGTATAGCATGCTAAGATGGATATTATACAGTAAATAATTAATGTGTGATTGATTGTCCTCTTAATTGCTAATCATGTTCAACACCATTAATTTGCAATGTCTGTGATGTTGGATATCAAAATACTACTGGTCATTAATGTGAATTTATTGGTTGCGACTAAGGATATAAATTAAATGATGATAACGAATGTGTTCCTGAATGTTCTGAAAATTGTTTAGAATGTCAATCATTAACCTAATGTTTAGAATGCGACATCAACTATTATTTGAATAATGGAAAATGTTAATCTATCCCAAATAACATAGAAACTTATGCTAAACAATCAGATAAATAAATGCCTTATTACTAGATTATAATCATTATAGTCTCTATCTTATTGTTCTTAGCTTGTCTATTCTATTCATATAAACTCTACTAAAAAAATCTACTCAAGAGAACAAACGGATAATAATTAGCAAATTAAGTGGAAGAAGGAATACCATAAAATACCATTATCAATACCATGATTACGGCTAATAGGGAATAACCAGAAAATTTATAATTTGATTGAGTTTTATATTTGAAAAATAACAGTTTATCAATATTTTTTATTTAATTTTATTACAATCTAATTTTAATCATCCTATTATTATTACTATAAACATTATTTACTCAAAAAACTTTAATTTTTTTGAATCAGCTATTATAAATTTTTAAAGTAAAAATGTAATTATTAAAAAGCAAATTTATTTAATTAACAGAAATTCTGTATGAGACTTATAATTGTTTTTATATGGAAACAAATAAAGATTATTTTACTCTGAAGAAATTGTTATTATTATTTGAATTCTTAGATTTTTATATAAATCATCCCAATTTTATTTGTTATTTAATATTAATTCAAAATTCTATCTTCTTTTTTGAAGGAAGATATTTTTGTAATAAAGCCTAAGTAATAAATCCAAAAAAGGAGGCAATTACAACAACAGCTATCATTATCCAATTATATCCTTTAAAACTAAAAAATAATTAAAAAATGATACGCATTATTATTAACATTAATTAATTTAGCCCATTTTCCACCAGTTGGGAATATAGCTGAAACAAAAAATAAGATGAATCCTAATATCGTCCATAAGAGTAATAAATAGTTTCTATAATATCTTTATTTGAATGGATTTGAGATATAAAGATTGATTGCAAATGTCATAAAGAAGAACATTAAACTCATAAACATAACAGATTAAATATCTCCTGTTTTTTTTAATTCTTCAATTGGTTTTGGTATACAATTTGTAATAGGTTCATTAAACTCACATGTATGTACATCTCTGACTGCTTATGATATAAAAAAATTAATTATTAATCTAATAATGAATATATTATAATACCCAGCTGATCCCCAAATTAAATTGTTATGAATTTAAATTTAATTATAAATGGCAAATTAATCATCTAAAGGATTATATTTAGCTAAAGTATCAGATGGACCAGACAGACATAAAAATATCAGTAATGGAATGTTTGAAATAATACTTGTATAAGTGAATTAAAAATCTGCAAATGTTTCAGCTTCTAAAAATGTAAATAAAACAGCTATGAATTTTAATGTATTAACGCTAATTTAATATTAGAAAACTTCAATAATGGTCATTGTAGCTGCTTTACCTTATAATAGTACCTTAACTACACAATCTAATGAAGTAGATTTACTACTAAAAGGAGCTGTATATGATGCATCAGCTTCACTAAATGATATTCCTACTTAAGCTTATGAAATAGCTGACTAATAATATTTAATGAAAAATAATTACACAATCATTTGCTCCATCTCCACACATTAAAACTTATCTTCCAAGACTTTAAATCATTTGAATTATAAGTTTCTTTTATTCTGGTTTTTATCTAGCAAAAACTTTTGTTTTTTTTATTATTTAAATTGCTAATTATCCAAATGATCCATCATCAATATCAATT